AAGATTAAACGACATGCTGATGGCTCTATAGAACGACACAAGGCCGGACTTGTTGCGAAAGGTTACCATCAACAGAATGGGCTGGATTTTGATGAAACATTTATCCTGGTTGTTAAGCCCCCTACTATTCGACTTGTCCTCTCTCTTGCCATAAATCGATGCTGGCGTATTCGTCAACTTGACGTAAAAAATGCCTTATTACATGGCACTCTTCATGAAACAGTTTATGAAGCAACCACCAGGTTTTATCGACAAGGATTTTCCTAATCACGTTTGTCGTCTTCACAAATCCATCTATAGGTTGCGACAAGCACCAAGAACATGATTTGATGGCTTTAGTGCTGTACTATTTGAGCTTGGATTTGTTCAAAGAAAAATTGATGTGTCTATGTTTCTCCACTATGCTGACCATGATATCACTATTCTCCTTGTCGATGTGGACGATATCCTCATCACTGGTTCCAGCAATGCTTTCATCTCAACAGTCCTCACCAAACTGCACAATTGAGATTAAAGACCTTGGGTCTGTCAGTACACTTCTTCCTAGGGATTGAAGTTTACTGTGATTCTCGTGGTATCCAAATGAGTCGAACAAAATATGCTCCCAGTCTTCTAAAGAAAGCTAATTTCCTTCTAAAGAAAGCTAATTTCTTTAGAAGGCTGAGGCCTTCTAAAGAAAGCTAATTTCCTTCTAGCTAAACCATGCTTATCCCCCGTTGTTGCTGGTTCTAAATTATCCTTATATGATGCTGGTGACCTTCTTAATGCCACATCCTATCGTAGTCTCGTTGGTGCACTGCAATACCTCATCATCACACGCCCTGATCTTACATATGCCGTGAATTAGGTTTGCCAATTCATGCATCAGCCATGTGAGACTCACTTAGTAGCCATTAAAAGGATTCTTCGGTACATCAAGAACACTCCTCATCTATGCATCTTGTTAAATCTCGTGATGAACATCTGAGGGGATTTTTTGACGCTGATTGGGCTGGTTCTCCGGATGATCGATGCTCTACTACTAGCTTGTGTGTTTGCTTTGGTTCTAACCTCATCACTTGGGCCACTAAGAAGCAAACCACTGTTTCTAGATCAAGTGCTGAATCATAATTTAGGGCATTAGTGCACACAACAGTTGATATCCAGTGGCTTACATACCTTCTTCGAGAGAGTGGAAAATCCCATTACACCATCCTGTAATGCTACATACTTAGCCTCCAACTTATTTCTTCATGCCAAAACCAAACATATTGAGATTGACTGTCACTTCTTAAGGTAACGTGTTTTACGTGGCTCTCTAAAAATCGTGTTTGTTCCAAGTTCTGACCAGACAACAAAATTCTTCACCAAAGCTCTATCGGTACCCTAGTTTCAACTACTAAGTGACAAGCTGCTGGTTCGTCCTTGCTCCACCACCATCTTGAAGGGGGGTGTTAAGAGATTAGCTAATGATATATTGGATAGCCCAGGAAATCAGGTCAAAGGGAAATCCAGATAGATTCGTTGAGATAAGTTTGTTGAGAGAATCTCAGATAGTTTTATTCAGAGAATCTCTCCATCTCTCTCTTATTGTTGTAACAACAAACAGATAAGGGCCCGTTTGGCATGCGTTTTGTTTTTGGCGTTTTGTTTTTGGCTAAAACAGAAACAGTGTTTTTATTGTAGAGCGTTTTGGAGAAAAATTCGGAAGTACGTTTTGGAACTATGCTTTGTTGTGAAAATGTCAGAAATAAAAATATGAAAAACATGTTTGGGCACACAAATATATATATATATATATATATATATATATATATATATATATATAAAGATATTACATGTGTATATAAACTAGTTTATAGCAAAAATTAAAAAAATGTATATAAACTAGTTTATAGCAAAAATTAAAAATATATATATATATATATATATATATATATTTTTTTTTTAATTTTTGCTATAAACTAGTTTATATACACATGTAATATCTTTATTGCAAAAATTAAAATATATATATATATATATATATATATACACACACACATGTATCGGTGGTGATGAAAATCCATTTAAGGGCTCGGACTGAAAACTTGCCCAAACATTAATCAGTCACAGATTCACGATCAAATTCGCAGCCAACTGGTGTGACCTTCAAAGAACCACCTGAAAATGGATGCACAAGAAGGAGGCGCACACAAAGCTCAAATAACAACAACGATCTCCTCAAAAACCCTAATTTCAGATACCGAAACGAATTAGCAATCAACAACGCATCACCAGAATGAATTCTCATGAAGATCAAGAAGATAACGGAGTTTGTGAATCGAAACCCTCAAAATTTGGTCAGAAAGAGATTCTGGGAGCGCTCAAAGTGGTCGAGAGGGACTCCGTGGCTGTTGCCGAGAGCTTCACCACTCTCTTCGCTTCTCTCCGTTTGGCCCTCTCTGAGGTTTCTCACTCTTCGCTTCGATTTTTCTACCTCATATCTTCTTCAATTTAGGTAGGCTTGGGTCGGTGGTGATGAAAATCTAGCTTCGGTGTTGTATTTGATATCGCCCTTGAATCGCAGAGAAAGAGTATCAGGAGAGGAGAGAGAAAATTTGCCTAAAAAATGACCTAAAATGTTATATACGTCAAACAAGTTGGGCCGGCTACTTCCTCCGCTACAGTGAAAATTTGTCCAAACAGTACTGAAACAAGATAAAACACCAAAATGGTGTTTTTAGTTTTGGGCCTCTTTATTGAAATACTTTATAACTGTGCAAAACAAAACAAAACCAACCAAACATATTTTGGGCTTCATTTGGGTTACTGTAGCGGGCCTGAAACAAAAACACAAAAACAAAGTAGATGCCAAACAGCCCCTAAGTTTGTTGAGAGAATCTCTCCATCTGTCTCTTAATATTGTAACTATAAATACACAATAGGATAATAGGATACCATCATTTTAGTGTGGTGAAAATTTCCCAAATTATTATCTTCTTCTCTCATCTATTCTCAGTTTTTCACTGCGAGTAGTAGTATATTTATAGAAGAAATCGTTGATTTTTTGGGTTTGTTGGGTCCTTAGGACCTCTCTCTTGGCTTCGACCCTTGTATAGCTCTCGGGATGCGTTCCCCTTTTGAACGCTCTCTAATATATCTTTACTCATAAAAAAAAAAATATCTCATGGCAATACAAGAGATCCAAAAAACTAGTAACATCGTCAATCTCCCAGTCCTGGAAATGCCTCCAGAAATGAACATCACATAATGTTCTCCCACTATCAAGACGATAGTAGTCGACTACCATAGCCTGACGATCTGAGGCAATCCGGAAGAGTCTAGGGAAAGTGAGCGCAAGAGAGAAATCACCACACCAAATGCCCTCCCAAAAGTAGATTCCCCTACCATCTCTGACTCGAAACCTAGTATGTTTTGGGAATTCATCCTACCCCTTCCGAATAAATCTTCATGCCCTAACCCCACTCGGAAGTCTCACCTCTGAAGAGCACCAGCCCCCGCTCAACTCCCCAAATCTGCTCACCTATGTTACCTGGACTAGCTGGTGCTGGCCGGAGTGTCCATGTCGACACGACACAGTCACGGACACTGCATCTTTACTTCGGACAGGGCTGATAACAAAAACACACAGGGATGTATGGGTTGATGCTTGTGAAGGATCACAAATTTTTTTCATGTTTTTTTGTTGAATCGGCTTCCATTCGCGGTGTTAGGAAGCTCTGTGACTCGAAGATGGCGTCTGGTTGAAAAACGTCTTTGAAAGGTTGAATATGATGGTCTGCCTTTCACGCGCTATCAATGCCCAATTTATTTGTAATTGGCCGAGCGTAAAAACACTCGTGTGTTATGGGTTACAGCTGTACTCCCCTATATAGATATATAATATTTAACATTGGGTTACGAACTTACGCATTAGCTGTAATATATATATATATATATATATATATATATATATATATATATATGTATGTATTATAAGTATAATATACAGTCTGGCTTTCTGAATGGTGGAGTACAGCTGTAGTACAAATAAAAAGAGTGTGGTATGGGCAAAAGTTAACTCCGGTAAGCTAGTTGTACCAACTTACTTTTTCTTTATTTTTTTATTATTTTTAAGAGAAGACATGACAAATGGGAAGTCCTCTCTGACTCCTCTTTATTAAAAATTGTTTATTATTCAGTTACGGAGTACTTAAAATAATTTAAATAACTGGCTAATACTTTAAAGACTTATTATTATTTAAAGTTATTCTTTTAACAAACTTCTTGTTAAGGACAAAAACCTTTAATAATAAGCATGTATGTAGTTGCAAATCTTTTGTCCATGGACGTGTCCAAGTGTCCCTGACCAACTTTTGGACACTTTTTACCCGAGTCCCTGAGTCCACTAATGTTATAGATTAGCGAATCCGACCTCTAGACACATACATGTGTCTGTGTCCGGGTTACATAGCTGCTCACAATCACCCTCCACCATAATCTGAGCCTCTCAACCCCCTAGGCCCACGACCAGGCTTATTCCTCTCACTTTCTTTTCCAATGACTTCTGGACTCTTTTGCAGGTTTTGGTTGATTAAAGAATACTTGGCCTGTAGTAGCCACCTTTGTTTTGCTTGCTTGGAAGGGTGGGAATCATGTGCTTAAAACATGATCTTCTTTACTTGTGAAAAAAAAAAAAAAAAAAAAAAAAAAAATTTATCTTCTTTAAATTTCAATGATGCTTTATCCCCATTAATCAAAGCAGGTTGTTTCTTCACTTAACAGAAAGTAAGGGAAGAATTTAAAAAAAATGGGTCAACCTTAATTGTAAATTTGGTTTTTTAAATCTCACTTCAGCTCTCTGATTCGCAATGCCGTTAGAATGTTTCTAGGCCTTTTCTTGGTTTTTTAAATTTGGTTTTTTCATTTTTTATTTTTGGTGTAGTTGTTTAGTAACAATTGTGTTTTTTGCCAATTTTAATAAAAAATCTCATTAAAATATAAAGACTCTAACCTTTTCTTTTCTTTTCTTGGTACAGGTTTCTCAATTCTATTAAGCAGTATCTTTGCTTATCATTGTTAAAGAACAGTGCAGTGTCAGTTATGACTATATTTCAACTTCTCTGTTCAATATTTAAAAGGCTGCTATCAAAATTCAGATCAGGTTTGAAATCAGAAATTGGAATTTTCTTTCCTGTCCTCATCCTTCGGGTGCTTGAGAATGTGCTTCAGCCTAGTTTCTTACAGAAGATGACTGTCCTCAATGTACTAGAGATGATCTGCCAGGATTCGCAGATTATCATTGATATTTTTGTCAACTATGACTGTGATGTGGATGCTCCAAACATCTTTGAAAGGTATTTGGGATTTGTATTGTATTTCTTCCTTTCCCTTGTGTCTTAACTATTGAATGAGCTTGTGGAATATGACATCTTCCCCTATCCAATCTCATACGTTTCTAGTATATCATGTTCATACATACTTAAGTACACCTGCTAGCTTAGTGGATCTGGTGGTGATTACTGTGCATTGAGTTCATTATCCTGATTTCCCGATCTTTTTATTTGTTGCTCATGTGTTTGAGCCTATACGTTAGCTTCTGCATTATATAACTATCTACTTGCCTAGGGCTTAAAATATGATACTTCAGAGTAATATCAGCCAAGTCGACTTGGTTTCGCAAGGGACCAATTTGATGTTGAGTCATGATACCATAATAGGTGAGTTGAACTTGAATCAATTTTAAATTAATTTTGGATTGAATGGATTAGTTGAGATTTTGCTTGCATTAAGATGTCTCAAGATATAACTCATCATTGGCGAGTCATGTTGCAATACAATCTTTTGTCTCCTTTGGCAGGCCCAACTAGATTTCTCTCATTTCATTTCCAGTTAACATTTTTTTTGACCCCTCAAGCCTCGCGACCATTACAATTCCAGAAAACTCTCCCTCTCACTTTACTTTTCTTGTTACTTTGCCATCATTCAAGGAAATCTCATGGAAATTCAGAATTGGAAAATTTTGTTTCTTAATACTTGAATAGGATGTATGTATTAGTCTTTTAAACATTTCAAATTTATTTTTGTGTAAAATTGATATATTGTAAATCTTGGTGAACCATGTATATATAAATTAAAGAGCCTAAATCTATCACTTGTCCCATTGTAAATAATAAAATTTTCATTATTTGTTGTTCAAAACAAGGCAATCAAGAGTTCCTCTTCAAATGATTGATTGAATACTGACAAGCTGCAAAACATAATACAAACTTTCAATGAGTATAAATTCACCAAAACTCATGGTATACGTACAATCTTTTACTACAAAAAGTGTATTAGACTATCATAGAATATAAACTAGTATGACTTTTACCAAAGGCTGTAACCTAGTGGGTGGTACTTCCTCGCCTTGCAACTTAGAAGGTCGAGGGTTCAAATCCCCATAGAGGCAAGTGGGTGTGTGAGTGTGTTTCTTGCCAAGCTAAAAAAAACTAATATGACTTTTCTATGTTGGGACAGAAGTATCACTACCCTCGACCAAATCAAGAATCCAAAAACTACAATAATAAACCTTTTATTCTTAACCTTTCTAGAAATTCAGAAACCGTGAACAATTATGTCAAGATATGAACTGATTCACAAAGTAATCAACATTTTTACTCAAAGAAATACTATCACCATAGGAATCCAATGGAGTACAACAGTGAAAAAGATATCATTACAGTGATTCAGATCTCACAGATTTTGAAAATTAAGCAACTTTAATTTGAATCCATCAAAAAACTACGTAATAAGTTCCTATAACCACATTATTGCCACAGCTAGCGAAAATAATATTTAAAATGAATTTCATTGAATTTGCCTGCATGAACTAATCTTGCCACCTCTTATAATTCTGCGTTGATGATGGAGGAGCTTTTGTCAGAATTATTGTTGTAAATTGTCTTGCCAATTTTCTCCTTTTCTCCCAATAGATATTTTTTTTAACTCTCCCCCCCTCCACCCAAATAAGCAGAATATGAGAGAGAGAGAGAAGGAAGTGGAGGGGATGGACAAAGATGTCATTTCATTTTGCTGGAAATCACAAACAGTCGTTATTGGGGTAATTCATAATGCTGGGTCCTTCATGCAGGAACTTTGAAACTTTTTTGAATCTTAATTGATCCCTAATTTCTTACTTCTGTTGTTCACTTTTTAGACATGGGGCTGCTAAAGCAAGTTTATGTTGACCCACGATAATCCATTGCTCATATGATATGAATTCTGGATGCAGCACAATACATTCGTTTATGATTGAATTTATGATTTCATTTTGGCATCAAGGTTTAGTAAAAATTGTATTTAAACCCTTTTAATTCCATCAGATATTTGCAGGACTGTCAATGGCCTTCTGAAAACTGCTCAAGGTCCACCTTCTGGTTCCACTACCACTTTGTCTCCAGCCCAGGATATTACATTTCGGAATGAATCGGTAAAATGCTTGGTTAGAATCATCAAGTCAATGGGAGCTTGGATGGACCAACAACTGAGAATAGGGGACTTTTATCCGCCAAAGAACTCTGACAATGACAATTCGATTGATAATCATACAACCCTGAAAGTTGAAGAAGGAATTGTCCCTGATAGTGAGCTGCATCCAGAAGCAAATTCTGAGTTCTCAGATGCTGCTACTCTTGAGCAACGTCGAGCTTATAAATTAGAGCTTCAGGTTAAGTAATGATTTTACTTGGAGAGAGAAAAATGACCGTTTCCTTATCAATAATAGTGCTTAGTCATTTCTTGTAATACTCAAACTGCACTAACTCATTGGAAGATGGTTGCCTTGCAAGTGTCATGAGCAGTTACTATGATTTTTAAGTGCCTTAGTTATCACATTGTCTTTTTTATTTATTATTTATATTTTTATTTCGGGAATACTATGTACTGACAATATTACTTGGTTAAATGCAGAAAGGTGTTTCTCTGTTCAATAGAAAACCTTCCAAGGGTATTGAGTTTTTAATAAGCACAAAAAAAATTGGTGATTCTCCGGAGGCCGTGGCTTCATTTCTGAGGAACACTACAGGGCTAAACGAAACTATGCTTGGTGACTATTTGGGTGAAAGGGAAGATTTCTCTTTAAAAGTTATGCATGCTTACGTGGATTCCTTTAACTTTGAAGCAATGGACTTCGGCGAAGCAATTAGATTTTTCCTAAGGGGCTTCAGGTTACCTGGGGAGGCACAGAAGATTGACCGCATCATGGAAAAATTTGCTGAGCGCTATTGTAAATGCAATCCAAATTCATTTTCTACGGCAGATACTGCTTATGTTCTTGCTTATTCTGTGATAATGCTTAACACTGATGCTCATAATAACATGGTAAAAGAGAAGGTGAGCTTGCTGATATTTCTCCATTTATCTTCTACCACAATGGCAGAGTCATGATTTATTTGTTTTGTTTTTGGCTGTGACACTATTAAATCTTTAAAATCTTCATGTTTTATATTTCTTAGTTGCTTCTTCAATGAAGTTAAAAAACAAGTTGCTTATTTAAGAGAGTATCACATTTAAAATCATTTTGCACTTTGTTTTTAATGCCTTGCTGCACCTGATAAACTGAGAGATATTCTATTGTCATTTTTTTTTTCAAATTATAATTTTCTGCAAAGTATATGGATATTTTACTGTTATTTTATTCGGTGATTTTATTAGAAAATTGAGTAGGAGGTTGGAACATGAAAGTGTATGCTGGAAATCTAAAATAGGTAATCAATTAAGAGAATATGAAATGAACTTATCATTTCCCATATTTAGCATTCAAATTTTTATTGCAAACTTGGGAGATTCACAATATGTAAGTATAATTGGCAAATGTTGAACTGATAGATTCCATCCTGACTTCAACTCTGCCCTGGTTTTGCTATTAAGATGAGCAAGGCTGATTTCATCCGGAATAATCGAGGGATCAATGATGGCAAGGATTTACCTGAAGAGTTTTTGGGTGTCCTTTATGATCAAATTGTTAAAAATGAGATCAGGCTGAATGCTGAATCTTCCGCACCATATAGCAGGCAGGCGAACGGTCTTAATAAACTATTGGGCTTGGACAATATACTCAATCTTGTTTGGAAGCAGACAGAAGAAAAACCGTGGGGTGCAAATGGGGTTCTTATAGGGCATATTCAGGAGCAGTTTAAAGCAAAATTGGGAAAATCAGAGTAAGTATGATATAAATCCTGTGAAGGCCTTTATAGTTTTTTATTGTGGCTTTTGTCTGTCATTTATAAGCATGGTCAGCCTGTTACAAAGGATTGATGCTTCAAACTTGAGCACAAGCAGGGGATGGGGGTTTTGCAATTTTAGTGTATAAATGTTTCCAGTTGGAGATCTTTTGATTCATCAATTTGTTTAGATTGGATAATCATTAGTGTCCTCCATTCCATGCATATTATTCTCCTACTGGACCAAGTGTTGTGATAAATTGGTGTAGATCATTGAATCTTAGGAATGATGCTCACCTTATATCTCTTTCTTTGAACCTTTGTCAGGGTTAGTAATAATAATGGAATCCTCATTTATATGGTGTTTCAGGTCTGCTTATCATACCATTGCAGATGCAATGATATTGAGATTTATGATGGAGGTCTGTTGGGGTCCAATGCTTGCTGCATTCAGTGTAACTCTGGACCAGAGTGATGACAAGGCAGCTACTTCTCAATGCCTACAGGGCTTCCGACATGCTGTGCATGTTACTGCAGTAATGGGTATGCAAACCCAGAGGGATGCCTTTGTTACCACTGTAGCTAAGTTTACTAACCTCCATTGTGCTGCAGATATGAAGCAAAAAAATGTTGATGTCGTCAAGGTAACCCGTTTATTATTATTTTTTTTCTTTCTTGCTTTTTTTTTTTTTTTTTTGTTCCCTAAAAGTTTTTTCCTCTTTCTGGATGAATGACTGGGCACTGTCTATAACTAAACATCAAGAGTATGTTTATGCTTCCAACTATGGACTTTGTTCCCTTCTAGATCAGTTAGAAATGCGTGGATCAGGATGTTCACACAAATAGTCTCCCCCAATGAAGCACGGACACGCCTGAATGGGATGGCGTACCAGTGTCGGACACTTGTGTCCAAGCCTTGGACACGTGTCCAACACAGTGATGCCTTCAAAATCAGTTGATGCAGAGATGTATGAGATATACCAGAGAGGACCTTGGGTGAGAGAGATCAGTGACATAAAATATGAAAACATTTGAAAGGAATGAGAAGATAAGAGAGAACTGGCCCAAAATAGAGAGATGTCTGTGATTGTCAGAAGGTGAGGAAGAGAGAGAGGGGGATTAGATTGCAACCTATCTCTTTCAACACTTGTTTGGTTACAAAAGCAAGTCTTGTGCCTCTTGTTTGGTTAAAGAGGCAAGTCTTGTGCCTTTTGGATACAAAGATAAATCTTTCTCTCTTTGTATTTAAATGAATTTAAAGAAGAAAAAAATTGAATTTAGGCAAACAAATTATTTTATTAATTTGTGGGCCTAATTAAAATAAGTATGAATAAAGAAGAAATTGAGAAAAAAATTTATTTTTTCTTATATAATAAAATTAAATTATAATTTTATTGCCGTATCCATGCACCCCATGTCCGTGTCGTATTGTACCCGTGTCCTGTGTCCCGTGTTCGTGCTTCTTAGGTCTCTACATGAGTGGAGTTTGTTCACATATCTTTATGCCAATTCTTTCCTTATAATTAGCCATCTATATTTGTTCATATAGAAAAGTAATATTTTTGTGGTGAGTTGGTCCAGTTAGATTTACTTTTCGTTGGAGTCAGTGGTTGTGTTGCATTGTTGTTCCTTATCCTAGAAGCAATTACCATGTGTATTTTGCAAGCAAGTCTTAATTTATTTTTATTTTTATTTTATTTGTATTGTTATATATATATTTTAATTATTATTATTGTTGTTGTTGTTATAACTTATGTGGATAGTGTAATATTTCACATTGGCAGGCAATGATATCGATTGCCATTGAAGATGGAAATTATCTTCAGGAAGCCTGGGAGCATATTTTAACATGTCTCTCTCGATTTGAGCACCTTCAACTGTTGGGAGAGGGTGCTCCTTCTGATGCGTCCTTTCTCACTGTATCTAACAGTGAAGCTGAAGAAAAAACATTGAAGTCCGCTGGTTTTCCATCTTTAAAGAAAAAAGGAACTCTTCAGAATCCAGCTGTGGTGGCTGTTGTTCGAGGGGGATCATATGACAGCACTAATCTTCGAGTCAATAACTCCGGGCTGGTAACGCCAGAGCAGATTAATAACTTCATTTCAAACTTGAATCTGCTTGACCAGGTTGGAAACTTTGAGTTGAACCACATATTTGCTCATAGCCAAAGGTTAAATAGTGAGGCAATAGTAGCTTTTGTGAAGGCACTTTGCAAAGTTTCTATGTCAGAATTGCAGTCTCCAACAGACCCTCGTGTATTCAGCCTCACAAAATTGGTCGAAGTTGCGTAAGATTCTATTCTCTCTCTCAAATATAGTTACTTTCCATGAAGTTTTCATATCCCTTTGAAAGATTGAATAAGAAGTATACACTGTTTCTTCCAGGTTATGTTTGTCTAGCAGTAAATTGCTTTCTGTAACTATTGCAAAATTAATGAGTAGTTCGCTGATGGATGAGATTATTAATTTTTGTTGATAACTAAATATGCAATCCATCTTCTCTCCTTTATAGGATTTTGATTTCATCCCTCCTCTCATCCTTCCCCTCTTTCTCTCTCCTTTACCAAACAATGGAGGCTTGCTCTGTCCATCCTCTCTTCCATCCCTCCCCCTTCCTTCCCTTCAACCAAACGTGTTGTTTTAGTGTTTTCTTTTCCTTTCTAAAGGAAGATATTGTGATGAAATCACCTTTGCGTTAATGTTGGAAAATTTCTGATGAGAGTTTTGTAACTTGTTTGTTTAAAACAGGAACTTCCAGATAAAAATGTGGGATGAAATATACAATTAAACAATTGTTTCTATTTTGCAGGCATTACAATATGAACCGCATCAGATTGGTGTGGTCTCGTATATGGAGTGTTCTTTCAGATTTCTTTGTGTCAGTTGGCTTGTCAGAAAATCTCTCAGTTGCTATTTTTGTCATGGATTCTTTACGGCAGCTTGCTATGAAATTTTTAGAGCGAGAAGAGCTGGCAAACTACAATTTCCAAAATGAATTCTTGAAACCATTTGTGATCGTCATGCAGAAAAGCAGCTCTTCTGAAATCAGGGAGTTAATAGTAAGGTGTATTTCACAGATGGTCCTCAGCCGTGTCAATAATGTAAAATCTGGCTGGAAAAGTGTTTTTATGGTATGTGAGTGTCTTCAATTTTTTTGTTTATGGATTATGCATGGTTCAGAATCAACTAACATTATGCATTAGGCAGGAAGGTCCATATTCTAACCTAGAGTCTGATTGAAGTGAATATATATTTTCACAGAAATAACTTGGTCATGTTATCTAAAATATAGTCCTCACTTCTCTAAGTTTTGAGCAAAAATAGAGCTGTTTTAATCCATCACAAATGTATAGGTATTAAAGGTGAAACTTATTTGTGAATTTTTTAGTAGTTGGACAGAATTAAGAAGTATTTGAAATTTCATTATTGATTATATGCCATAAAAAAATGTGAGAATTTGGAAAAATTAGATCGGAACAGAAGAAAGAAATCATCTGTAAATCTTTGAATTATAAAACCATGGTAACTGGTTTCACAATTTAAAGAGTCAGCTTTCACAATTAAAAAAGTTGGCTTTTCTTGCGTGTAGTATGTTATAGAAAAGATAACTGGGCTCAGCCCTGTCATGTCAAATTAAAAAGATGATGCCATTCATCCTAGTTGGGTACTAAATTCTGGACATGCATGGTTCTGCACGTGTATGCCCTGGCTTGTGTGTGTATGAGTTGCATATACATTACTTGGACGACTCAATTCCTCTCCCACCTCTTCCTCGTTTGGCCCTGTCATGATTAAATTAAAAATACGACGCTGTTCATCCAAGTTGGGTACTGAACTCTGGGCATGATTGTTTTCACACATTTATGCCCTGGCTTGTGTGTGTGTGTGTGTGTTTTTCAGATACACTACTTGGATGACTCAATTTTTCTCCCAACTCTTCTCGCTCCTTCCTTCGTGTGTCTCTGTGTTTTTTATGTCACCTGAATATCCCACTTTATTTTGTTTCGTGGAAGTTGTTCAAGTATTTAGTGGTTCCTGTATAATTGCTCATCATTTTTCTCTCTACATTTAGGCTCTTTATCCATACTCTGAAATGCAGTCTTTCAATTTGTTGCAATTCTTATACTCCTTCCGTTCCATAAAAAGTGTACTGTTTTTTAAATGTTTGTAATTTACCTAACTTGCCTTGAAATTATAAAAGCAATTAAAGTTCAAAATAAGACCTCTTGTGGACCCACCATAGAAGGATATATTTGGAAATTCATTCCCTACCACTATAACAAAATAACATTAAAAACTACTCTCTTAAAAAGTTAGGTTCCCAAAAATGGACACTTTTTATTGGACAGAGGGAGTATCAATGGTGTTTTTTTTTTTTTTTTTTTTGGGTGAGTTTGAGAATCATCAGCCACACATGTTCAAAATTGAAAAAGAAAAGGTCATTTCTATTTTATGATGCTAAAGGATTTATCGGACATGTTTCTGGAAAGTGTCAAGACTTGTCACCATGTTCCTAACAGTATAGTTCCTTTTAGAATTATCTTGCTATGAGGTGCTGAAGCTGATCCACAGTTATGGGTTTGTACCGTGCATTAAAATTTGATCTGTTGTCTATATATAATAGTGTGTTTTACTCACATTCCACTTATAAACCATTCCTGTTTTTACAGATGTTGATACATGGAAATGGCCAAATTGGCCCTTTCAAATGTTTTGCTTCTTATGTTGGTTTTCCTTTCTCAGGTGTTTACAGCTGCAGCAGCTGATGAAAGGAAGAATGTTGTCTTGTTGGCTTTCGAAACAATGGAAAAAATAGTACGAGAATATTTTCCTTACATAACTGAGAAGGAGATAGTGACCTTTACTGATTGTGTCAAATGCCTCATCACTTTCACAAATAGTAAATTTAATAGTGATGTTAGCCTCAATGCCATTGCTTTTCTCCGGTTCTGCGCCGTCAAACTGGCAGATGGGGGTCTGGTTTGCAACAATAAGAGCAAGGTTGAGGCTTCATCCGTTGAAGAAGCAAACAATGATGCTTTAGATGGACAAACTTTTGCTGATAAGAGTGATCACGTTTCCTTTTGGGTTCCTTTGCTCACAGGTATTTTGCTTTTAACTCTAAGATTTCATTCAGGAGAATGCACTTGTTGAAAAGTTGACAGAATCCAGTGTTTGATCAGCTGCTAACTGAAAGATTTTTGATATTTAAAACCAATTTTATGATTTCTATTTTTTTTTTTTTTTTTTTTTTGTCTTTCAAGAAGAAACACTTCCTTTTTATCTTTCATCTCCCTGACGTTCAGCCCCCTGCAAAGAAGCCATAAATTTTAAAACAATCTTCCTGCAATGAGGCCGTAGATATCATACTTGGAATCCTCAGACAGTAACCACTTTGTCATATCAATTTATATTGTCTTTTCTGTCTGTTGATGAGAGTTATTGGTCCTCATGGGTGTTAATATTCTGAAGTTGGATGTAAACCTTGTTTTTAATTACCTTCATGTTATTGTGCAAACTTTGTTTCAGGGTTATCAAAACTAACGTCGGACCCTAGGTCAGCCATCAGAAAAAGTGCTTTGGAAGTGCTTTTCAACATCTTAAAGGATCATGGTCATCTTTTTTCATGCCCATTTTGGATCAGTGTTTTCAATTCTGTAGTTTTTCCCATATTCAATTGTGTGCCCGACGACAAAGAAACACAAATGAATGATGGACAGTCTTCAACAGTTTTCGGATCTTCTCATTCTGAGGGAATTACATGGGATCCTGAAACTTCTACAGTGGCAGCTCAATGTCTAGTAGACCTATTTGTCTTTTTCTTTGCTGTGGTGAGGTCTCAACTACCTCAAGTAGTTTCAATACTGATAGGTTTCATAAAAAGTCCTGGTCAAGGTCCTGGAAGCACTGGGGTAGCTGCGTTGATGCGTTTGGTTGGTGACTTAGGAGACAGACTTTCAGAAGATGAATGGGGAGATGTCTTTGTTGGCTTGAAAGAAGCAGCTGCTTCTGCTCTTCCAAGGTTTTTAAAGCTTGTAAAGACCATGGATAGCATCGATGTTTTTGATTCTTACAATGATCTGGAAACAGTTTCCCGCCCTGGATTGATCAATAATGATTCTGAGGAAGAAAACCTGCAAACTGCAGCATATGTTGTTTCAAGAATGAAGAGTTATATAGCTTCGCAACTGCTCATTGCCCAGGTTCTCTCTCTCCCTCCCTCCCTCCCTCCCTCCCTACATGTGTTTGTGTGTGTTCTGTACATGTGTGCATGAATGATTGTATTTGAATGTACATGCATTCAGACATAACAATACCAATTAATATTAAATACTAAGAAAATTCAGAAAAAGAAATACCTCTCGGAAAAACAAACACTATAACTATATTTATATCAATATATCTTCAAAGAATAATAGGGTTTTCTTGAGAAGTAATTTCATCTTGATCTACGTGCTTCACTTGCATAGACCCGGAGCACAGTCCGTTTGGTCCAGCTTAGCCTATCTGTTTTGGAGAAACATCTCCATGATATGCAAATTATTTATACCACCCTCTTTTCAGACTCAGTTCTGCAACCTGCAACCTTCCACGTTGAGATGTTATTCAAGTGTGGTTAGGCTAGCATATTGGTAACTGATATTCAGAATATTGCTTCAATATATCGTTATTATAATGGTGGATTTTAGAATCAAACATTTTTTTTCTTTCTTTTCCAGGGTTTGGTTATTGGGCAAGGAGTTTTATTAGATGCTTGTTTTAAAATTATGTTAATTTTCTGTACAGAAATTCTAATGTGACGCCCGAATGAAAGATAACTAAATTCAGGATTAAAAATTTTGACCAAGAATTTCGTAAAGTAGCATTTGAAGTATTGTTTAAAACCTCATAGCAATTGATGGAGTCATGCCTAAATTGGATTGGGTGCTTGGTGTGAAATTTAACAAATTACTTAAAATTGACCAAATTCAGATATATTTAGAGATGCAGAAATAAAGAAAAAAAAAAAAAGAGATTAATTCGGGAGGAAAATATTTGATTGGGAACTGAAGTCCAGGATATAATTTGCGCAAGGTGTTCATCATCTTGTGAAGCTTAAATGTCACCAACACCGAAGTGTTTCTACACAAACACACAATCTGGATGACTAATTACTGAGAGTAATCACTAGAGAAGCAAATTCGTTAAGAACGAAGGTTGTCCACAGATCAGAATAATGACTTGGAAATCTTCAAGCGTACTGAAGGTTTGTTATCTTACGGTGTCTAGAGATCAACTAGGAATATGAAGGCACTGAACTGTGACCTAAATTGTACATCTCTTTCTTGATGGTGGATTAGTTTGTCTGGAAGCATTCATATCTCATAAGTCATCAATATTCTAAAAATTAATATCAAAAATGAAAAAGGAAATCCATATATCCAATTCCAAAGAACAGAACAGGGAAAAAAGAAAAGAAAAGTAAAAGCAGGGACAACATTCAAAGACGAAGAAAAAAGAAGAGTGATAGAGAAGACGAAGACAGAGAGGGGGACAAAAAAAAAAAAAAAAAAAAAAAAAAAACGAAAAACTGTATACAAAAAAATAATAATAATAATAAAAAATTGAAAAAAAAAAGGAAGGAAGACAGAGCACAGACAAAAAATAAAAATAAAAATAAAATAAACAGAAAGAAATAAAAACAATTAACAAGAAAGAAAAAAACAGAGCCCACAAAAAAAAAAAAAAAAAAAAAAAAAAAAAAAAAAGATGCAGAGACAGAAAAAGTGGATGAAGAGAGAGAAGCTGTTAAAGAAAACGAGAAAAAAAACAAAGCCCAAAAAATTAAAAAAATGACAGGAGTAGACGAAGAGACTCAAGAGAGAAGTAAGCAAAGATGAGAAGAAAGAGAAGTAGAGGAGAAGGGAGAAGAGAAAGAAGTAGAGGAGAAGAGAGATAAGAAGAAGAAAGAACTGACCTTGCTTCGTCATTTGTCTCTGCAACTAGGGCTTTGTTGTTCGTCTCACAGTCTTGCTCTTTCTCTGTTTGTTACTTTGACTCTTGGGCTTTTTTATTTTTGTATTCTTTTGAGCAAAAGTTCCGTCTGTGATACGCTTGGGCTTTCTTATTTATTTATTCTTTTGAACAAAAGTTTCAGAAGTTGCCAAAAGTTATAATTTTTGGCTTAAGAAATAGAATAACCATTTAACAAAAATAAAAAAAAAGGTCAGGCGTGACCCGGCACCAAATTCGGGCCAGAACATCACAACTATGCAATATTGGTTCATTTATATGTGTGTGCATGTTTTATGCATGCATAAGTGTTGCAACCATTCTGGGCATGTGGTTCACTTTTCGAAGAATTGTTTTTTGTTTTAAAAGAACTAAATAACAGAATATATTTTGAAATTTCATTTGGTTGAAAACTTTCTTAGAATTTGAGTTTAAAGAAAGCATGTTTTCAGATGCAGTTCTCTGAAATTGTAGTTCTATGAAATTTGTTATATGTTTTCCAAGTTCTTAAAAATTGTTTTCAGAAGACTAAATCAAACGAATCAGGCACTCTATAACTTGCAATTTCTGTTTAGATCTTAGAATTTTAAGAGATGCATAATGTATTTATCTTTGTTGCTTACTATTATACATTTGTATTTGTGTGCAAATTTTGCAAGCCTTGGATTATAGTATATTTGTAGCGTATATGTGATGCATAATTTTATTTGTATGTTTGCACACATATGTACAATTGTATGTGTGATGTGACCCAAATTTGGTTTTGGGTCGCATTTTGACCCCTTTTTTGCCTGCGGGTCATGGACCCTGTTTAGTCTCTCTTGTAGCCCTCTCTATAAGGGCGTTTAGGGTTTGGAGTGGTATATTAAGAGACACTGAAAATTGCAGAAGAGAGAGAGAGAGCTAGGGTTTGGAGGTCTGAAACTTGTAATCTCCTTTTTTTTCTTGTAGTGAAACTTTTTGTCAGATCTTAACCATAGACGTAGACACAATTTGTGTCTAACCACGCTAAATCTTTGTGCTTTGTGTGGTGCTAGTTTTTGTCGTGTTTCGTGATTGTTTCTTGGTTCATGGTTGGTTGTTGTAACGGTATGTATCCTGGTGCACATAAATGATGCAAACATGTTAGAATCTGCGGATCTGCTTCCTGATCTTTGAATTATGAGCTGCTTTGTATTTTTCTCTCAAGTTTGTTTTATAGAGATATAGAACTGATGTCTGAAAGATCATTAACATAATAAATGTTTCTGATTATTGTGAGAAAGACTGGTGATCCTGCACCCTCTTTTATTTTCTTTTACTTGCCTTAAATATATTAGATGGAATTAACTACATAGATTATTTATCATTGGTCGAATAAGTAAAATAGTTATATAACAACTGAAGCTTGTGAATCTTTTTGGAAGATTCCTGTAATTGTGCATTTAGTGTTGAAAATGCAATGAGTATCTCATTTGAATCATTCTGTTGCAGGTTATAACTGATCTGTACAAGATGCACCGACAATCATTGTCAGCAGGCAATGTCATGATGCTGCTCGAAATTTTTTCATCTATTGCGTCTCATGCACATCTATTGAACTCTGAAACAGCTCTTCAACTGAAACTGCAGAGAGCATGCTCCATCCTGGAGATCTCTGAACCGCCCCTGGTTCATTTTGAAAATGAGTCGTACCAGAATTACATCAACTTTCTGCATGATTTACTCATGAATAATCCTTGTTTGTCTGAGGAGATAAACATAGAACCACAACTTGTGTCTGTATGTGAAAAGGTTTTGCAGATATACCTGGACTGTGCTGGTTTATGCTCCGTCAAGCAGAAGCCAGTTAATAAGCCAGTGCTTCACTGGATTATTCCATTGGGTTCGGCAAAGAAGGAAGAGTTGGCAGCCAGAACTTCTGTGGTTGTGTCAGCATTACGGATTTTGAGTGGTTTGGGAAGTGATTCTTTTAGGAGGTATATTTCACAATTGTTCCCCTTGTTGGTAGATCTCGTTCGGAGTGAGCATAGTTCAAGAGAAGTTCAGCATGTTCTTTCCCATATGTATCAGTCATGTATAGGCTCAATAATAATGGACTTGTGAATTATATTGTAGTATTGGAGTATAGTGAGTCATTATTAATATGTCATTGCTATAACCTTGATAATTATCTATAGCATTTTTGGTAGCATACAAGGGGTTGTAGTTTTGTTTACGAATGTACAAGTACTTGTTTTTTATTTTATATAAATACAAATGTACAATCAATTGTTGATAACCTATATTGAAACATTTTCTATCTTAAGATGTTTTCCTTCAAAGATTTTTATTTTTATTTTTATTTTTATTTTTTTATTTTCTATTTTTTTTCTGGCAAAAAAAACTGATTTACTAACCGCTGAAGAACATGTACATGAAGAAGAGCTCACAACAAACAAGACATGAAACAACATGGAGCTCTGTATTCTTACATTCCATACACAGAAATGTTACTCGGCCAAAACCATGATCATCAAGAAAAATCATGAAACGCCACCTATTGGCCTTGTCAAACACCAAAGGGGGAATACGTTGCTCGATCACCAGCATCAGAACATCCCGGAGCACCAAAGTTGCTACAGAAAATAAAGCAACCACACCAAAACTACCTACACTGGATGACTCTAAGGTCTTGTCTACCACATGATAAAACGCCCTGCCAAACTCGCCAAAGCAAAAGGCAGTAAACGGTTGAAAGTTGCAAAGAGCATCCACCCGAAAATATTGTGCCACCGCCGAGAGAGCAGTGTGAGTTGGGAATAAACCAGTGACAACCACAGTCTTGATATATCTCCATGAGCTCCGAGAGGCTACTTCAGCACCTCCTACTTGAAAAGTAGTCCAATAAAAAAACATTCATATCCCACAGGATATGTCCATCACCAGGGTGAACCCATCGAAGATCCGCTAAGCAAAAAAGAAAAAGTCTTGAAGAACCCACATGTATGTTAGCGGATCCAGTAGGAAAATTGCACTTAAGCAGCCCAATAACAAGAGCAGAAAGCTTATGGGCCTGAACAAATCCCCAAATCAAATTTAAACTCAGAAATTTAAAGGGCCCATTTGAGGCTATGTGTTGGGTCTGGCCCATAGGCCCCTTCCAGAAATTTCCTACACCAGATTGCACAATCCAGTCGTCCTCCACAAGCAAAGTATGCACTATAATGAAGTAATTAAGGTGTGGGCCTATGTGCAGACTATTCACCGACCTAAACCAGACACGTGGAATGCAAAAGAATAGATGCGACATCGACATTGACGAAAGACAACCCAGCAACAGGAAGGAATCCGACGACTCATCTCCGGCAGCAGAGACCCACCGGCGAATCGGCAAAGCATCTAACGTTGCGCGATACAGATGCCTCCCATGAGATCGATCAGCTAAAGTAGGACAAAGAGACATGAACGAGGGTGAGGCCATCATTGAAAACTCAGTAGCAGACGCACCACCATCACCATACACCCATTTGACTGGGGAAGAACCAGAGCTTGGTGACAAACGACCACCGATCACCCAAGAGAACCATAAGCACCCAGATACCCGAAAACAAAAAAGAACGTGTTGAGAAATCAAACAATGCCATCCTGGTTTGAAAAGACGATGGACAGAAGAACGGAGAAAGCTCCAGCACAGCAAAAACCAATGACAAAACAGAACGTTGATTGAACACCACCAAAGAGAGATGCAAACGTAGGACCCTTCTATTGTGCAAGGGACTAGGACCAAAGCAACCAACAGAGAAGAGAAAGACACACAAAACAAAAGGAAATAAGACGATCGAGTAAGAAAACAAGCAAAATTGAATATAAGAAGAAGGAGAAAAAAGAGAAGCTCTGACACTGCAGAGAACCTCCACTCAACCAGAGGAACCCTCTACTTGTTGGGAAACGTGCAAGTTTTTAAAACTTTTGAGAGATTTGCAATCATGGATCTTGATTCATCACATAGAGACAAGTTTTATGCAAAGATAAATAAAAATGATGTATAATTCAATAAACAGATTGAATACTTACATCAAAGGTCTGAGTAAACCTTTTGAACTTTCCTCTAAAGTGAATGTTCTCACTTATTGTAAATCTCTTTAGCAAGATCCTTTCTCCTTCTTCTTGATTATTATCTTCCCTTTAGGAATCACCAATATGCCTTGATGAATGACCTTGGAATCTAGGCTTGTGGTAGCCTCCTTTAGAAGAGAAAACAAAACCCTAAAATCTAGAGAGAGAAAGTGTATTTTCTTTTTCTTGTTCTAAAAGTCACACCTAAAATATACATGAACTCATGTATATATAGGCAAAATAAAAATAAGAATAAGGAAACAATAAATTATTCTCTATCTCTAATTCAACTTTCTCAATTCTAACATGACTCCAATATCAACTTGGGTTATTATTGAGAATCCTTTTGGGCTTACTATTTTCTTGGCTCCTATAAATTAATAATTGGTCCGGTCCATTAAACCATGGACCCAATTCAATTAATTCATAAATTAATTTCTACTCCACTTAAAGAAATTAATTGCACTCCAATTAAGTAGTAAATAACCTCTAAGTCAATGTTGCACTTTGACCCCTTTATGTTTAATTATTTATCGGATAATTAAAGCCATCAATCCGACAACATAATTAATATAATTATTTTGTTACCCTTGATTATTTCCGGCTCGATCACAATAAAATATTTATTTGACAAAAAATAATAATTTATTAAATAAATAAATATAGAAAAACATTTGTCTAAAACATATGAAGGCCTTCGAATTTAATTTGTGATCAACCATAATCAAAACAAAATAAATACAAATAGCACTGATGCAAATATTGAGAATATAGACCTCTAACTATTAATTACATAACTACCCAAAGTGTCGATCTAAGGATCCCGAGGTATCCGCCGAACAAATCAAAGTAATTATTAATTAATAAAAGAGTCTATACTTCTCTCATGCTTGAGAGTCAAAAGCCATGACTGTGATAGAGAGCAATTGCATACGACAGCTCTCGCAATATATCTCAATCTATCGTGGACTCGGTTTAAGTCTTAACTAATTAAATGTCCATCCATAATTACCGACTTTAAACCATTTATGATTACTAATTTATAACATAGTATTAATTGCCATTACATACATATATAAATATATTTTGTAATCAAGTGGACACAATTAATTCCATAATGAATCGAAAAATAATACATTCCATTCACCAATTGTATAATGCTTTAATAATAATATCCAGATAAGAAACCATGACTTTTACAATCCAAAATTAGAATTTGCTATGCTAGGGCACACATATCCTAACAGCTCCCACTTGCACTTATAGCCAATTCGAATCACATCTAACTCCCATGTTCTCCATATGACGATCAAACATCTTGATCGGTAAAGCCTTTGTGAATGGATCAGCAAGGTTATGTTCCGATGCAATCTTGGCCACAAGTATATCTCCTCGCTTTACTATATTACGAACCACATGATGTTTCCTCTGAATGTGTCTTGTTCCTTTATGAAATTTTGGGTCCTTGGTTTGGGCTATAGCTGCACTATTGTCGCAATGAAGCGTCATAGGCCGATCTATATGCTCCACAACCTCCAGTTCAATTAGAAAGTTTCTTAACCAAACAGCTTCTTTTGCTGCCTCAGAGGCTACAATGTATTCTGCTTCCATGGTTGAGTCAGCAGTACAACCCTGCTTGACACTCTTCCAACTAACTGCCCCTCCATTGAACTTGAACACATATCCAGATGTAGATCTCCTGGCATCTGGATCTGATTGAAAATCAGAATCCGTATATCCGACTGGAACCAGATCATCACTTCCATAAATGAGCATTAGATTCTTAGATCTTCTAAGGTATTTTAAGATATTCTTCACAGCTGACCAATGATCAAGTCCAGGATTGGACTGATATCTACTGACAATCCCTACAGAGTAGCAGATGTCCGGTCTGGTATAGACCATGGCATACATGAGACTACCAACTGCTGAAGCATATGGTACCTGCCTCATTTGCTCAATTTCCTTATCAGTCTTGGGAGATTGCTCATTAGAAAGAGCCAACCCATGTCTAAATGGCAAAAACCCTTTCTTAGAGTTTTCCATTCCAAACCTGATCAGAACTTTGTCAATGTAAGACTCTTGAGACAAACCTATTTTCTTTTTAACCCGATCTCGCATAAGTTTGATCCCAAGAATATAGCTTGCTTCTCCAAGATCTTTTATCTCAAATTTATTGAACAACCACCTTTTAACTGATGACAAAGCCTCTACATCATTACCAATGAGTAAGATGTCATCAACATATAAAACGAGAATCATGATGACATTACCCTGTTTTTTCTAATAAACGCAAGGTTCAAACACGTTTTGTTCAAAGCCAAATAATTTGACTGCCTGATCAAAACAAATGTTCTATGTGCGTGAAGCTTGCTTAAGTCTATAAATAGACCTATTCAACTTACATACACAGTCCTCACGACCTTTAACCACGAAACCGTTTGGTTGCCTCATGTGGATGTCTTGTTCAAGATGGCCATTTAAAAATGCCATCTTAACATCCATCTGCCATATCTCATAGTCATAATAAGCACTAATGGCCAAAAAAATGCAAATAGATTTAAGCATTGCAACTGGTGAGAATGTATCCTCATAATCAATACCTTCACGTTGAGTGAAGCCTTTGGCAACCAGTCTAGCTTTGAATGTCTCAACATTCCCATCCATTCCTCTCTTTCGTTTGTAGATCCACTTACAACCAATGGGCTGAACCCCACTAGGAAGTTCTACAATATCCCAGACTTTGTTAGAATACATAGATTCCAACTCTGATTTCATGGCATCTTTCCAACGATTTGCATCTATATCGGTCAACGCTTCCGCATAGCTTACTGGGTCTGACTCATGCTTATCGGGGACGGCCTCATAGACCTCACCCAAAAGCGTGAGTTTTTCGGGTTGGATGATAGTCCTCCCACTACGCCGAAGGACCGGTGCAGGAATCGATGTTCTAGAGGATGGTAATTCAACAGGGACTTCTTGTGTCTCATCATTCTCAGTATTTATATTAGATGTGTCCACAGGGGGTATATCTGATATGCCAACCATCTCCTCTAACACTATCTGGCTACTAGGTCTGTGGTTCATAATATAATCCTCCTCCAGGTAAACAGCATGAGTGCTGACAATAACCTTATTGTCCCTGGGATCATAAAATAATCCACCTCTAGTGCCCTTAGGATAGCCA